TCCCTGACTTTGGATTTCTGGACTGGAGACTTGTAGAAGTGAGCACCCGAGGTTTACATCACCCAGCCTATGCTATTATCTTATAGACACCTGGGTCAAATAGGCTGGAGCCCTGGGCCCAGCCTGCAAAGATGCCACCCTCCAAGCAGGCATTTGCATAGGTCCGCTGGACACCAGACACTATTGAGGTCTTTTTTTTTTTTTTTTTTTTTTTTTTTGAGTGGCAGGCCCAGAGGTTGCTGACTCAGGGAAATCTGAGTTACTATCAGAACTATTATTCTCTAGGTGGATTCTGAAGACATTACATTCCACAGTTAGGATTTTTGGGCTGCTCTGAAAGTTTTGCTTTCCTGACTTGCCCCTTCTCTGCCAACCATTTCCCAAATCACAGAAACGCAGGCCGTTTTCACTAGGTCTTTCCTCTGTTAAACTCAAGGCCACGGATCTCGGAGTGAAAGAAGCCACAGACTCCCTTCCTGTTTCTCAGAGTCGTAGACAATTTAGCTTTGAGTTGGGGGCCTGCGCGGACCAATATCAGACAGGTGGCAGCCATCACAAGGTCGATGTAATCAAGATTAGCATAAAGCAGGCAATTGAAGGGTCTATCCAATGGGGGCGTGATCCAGTTCAGATGTCTTCACTTGTGGCTTCCCAAACTGCATAAACAACCTCCGACCGAGAGTGAAGGGGGACACGGATTCATGGTTTCTAATTGTTCATGTAACTTTCATTTCCTTGACTCTTGCTTGCTTTTGGAAGCTGCCACATTGCATTTCCCAGTGATTGCTAGCCAGCTTCGGATCCCCGTGACTGCAGATGCGTGTTTCCCTGTGCGCTTGAAGCGACTGGTCAATTGATTTTACCCTGCTCTTCTCACCATGGGCAGATTTACTTGCTCCTTGATCAGCTCCAACTTGATGGTTTCAGTGTTGGCTCATTCACATTTCCTGCAGGCCCTTCTTGGCGGTGATCTCCTCACCAAGCCAGTCTGGCTCAACCTCCCCCCCACCCCCACCCCCACTCTCCCAAGACTGCACCTCTGAAAAGCTCACTTCAGTAGACATAGCTGAGCCTGTCAGAGGATGACAGCGGGGAATGCCTGGTCCCCACCTCCAGCCATCTCATTTTTAAAAAACGTGTGTGTGTGTGTGTGTGTGTGTGTGTGTGTGTGTGTGTGTAAAACACATGCTACAGAGCACACGTGGAGGCCAGAGGACAACTTGTTAGGCAGTTGATTCTCTCCTACCACATGGTCCCAGGATTGAATTTAGGTTGTCAGGTTAGGTGGCTAATGACCTTCCCCTCTGAGCCACTGTCTTAAGAAAGGGAGCCAGAGCCAAGTGCCATTTTTTTTTTTTTTTTTTTTCAAGACAGGGTTTCTCCGTGTAGTTTTGGTGCCTTTCCTGGATCTCACTCTGTAGACCAGGCTGGCCTCAAACTCACAGAGATCCCCCGGGCTCTGCCTCCCGAGTGCTGGGATTAAAGGCGTGCGCCACCGCTGCCTGCATCCCAGTGCCATCTTTTTAAATGATGCCACCACCGGCCAGGATATTTTCACCCAGTTCTCGGTTCTCAGCCAGTGCAGAGCTATGGCCTAGTATTTTCTAGCATCTTCACCGATGGAGACTGTTTACTCTGAGGCCTCATGTGTCCACTGTCAGACCTCCATTGCCTTCAGCTTCTCGATTTTTCTTAGACAGTGGCCAGTGGCTTTGCAATGACTCAATGCAACAGCTGTCTAATTGCTTTTGGGCCAAACTTAACAGCTTTACTGGAGAGAAGTTGAAATGAGGCTTCCTCGGGTGAGTTTTGAGAGAGGAAAGGCAAGAGGAAGGAAAAGCTTAACCAGGACCAAGGGATGTGTGGAGGGTGTTGGCTTGTGTGAATACCACGCTGTTTGTGCTTACGCTGGGACCTCTTGGCTCTGGCTCCCTTTCTTAAGACAGATTTTTCCCCCTTTCTTCTTCTCTTTTGTTGACTTGGACAGGAAAGGGCGTGCGATCTTTTCATTCAGCCCAAACATAATACAAGAAGGCTCCCGTGCTTTGGGGGACATGTGGTTGTATTCTAAGGGACATCTGCAGAAAGATAGTCTTGGGAAAGAGAGCCTTCCCTAGAACACAGAAACATGTCCGGAGCGAGTGATCTCCTTGCGCACAGATTCAATAAAGCCCAACCGCACTTGGCTGGGGCACAAACCTAATACGGCAGCCCATATTGTTGCTCGGGAGGTCTCCAGCCAAACCGACTTCTTGTAAAAATAAATACTCATCAGCAAATATTTTGATTAGTTAAAAATGTTCGAGATGGCTAGGCCCTCGTTCCCCTCCTCCCCGCCGCGGCGCTTCCCGACCCGGCCCCGCTCGATGGGAGCCCGGCCCGCGGGCGCCCCGGAGGCTCGGGCGCCGGGCTCGCTGCACGCGGTTCCCTGGGCTGCGGGACGCGATCGCCGCCGGCCGCAGGCAGCCTCGCCCGCCCTCCCTGAGGCCGCCGGCCCGGAGCCGCGCGCAAGCTCGATACACTTACTCGCCTTAAGCTCTTTATTAACTCCCCCGGAGGAGCGCGGCTGTGGCTGCGGTTGCGGCTGCGGCCGCGCCTCCTGCGCCCCGGTGGTCTGGCTCCTCCGTGCGGCGCACATGCTAAACAGATTAACATGCCTTGGCTGACCCACGCTTCGCAACCCGCGGATAGGGTTTCTGCAGCTCCATGTGGAAATTAACCTATCTGTACCCGTGGTCAGCTGCGCCCGGCTGCTCCCGCTCGCTATGGCCGGGCAATGCAAACAAACCCAGGCCCCTGGCCCCCTCCGTCTGTGACTCTTGGCCTCTCTCCCCCTTTCCTGGCCAAATATTTATTGGAAAAGAGGTTCTCCTCTTTGGCCGAAGGTAGGGCACATTTCTGAGAGTTCTTTATTGGTAAATGATTTTTTGGCAGGGCCAGGCACCCTTATGTGGGGGGTGGCCGGGAACTCATTCATGGTTGGGAGCTTTCTACCCCTTTGCAGGCAGGGAGCTATTTGTGTTTGTCCAGAGCATACTAGTCCCGGCATGAAAAACACTCAGGCTGTCTATAGATTGCTTTTGCAACAGCTCCTCTGTTTAACAGGAAGTTCTGCTTTGTTCTAGGGCAAATTCCCACTGCTCCGGCTCTGCCTCCTGTTCGTACCCAGTGTGCACGGTGAAGGAATTTTTCTGGATTTTCTTTCCCATTTAGATGAACCGAAAAAGGCAACCAAGAGGCCAGTGGGTACCAGTCTGAGCCCAAGACTTAACCACCACTGCCTCTTCCAGAAGTCCAGGGCAACGGAGGGATTATTAATGGGCCTCCAGTTCACTTGCTAAGCGTTTTCCGTCTGTATCCCTTTATTCAAACGATAATAACATTTAGGCAGTTCGGCTTTTCACTAGATAGAGGTTGGAAGGAATCTGTGCGGCCTGGATGGGGCTGCTATAGTGACCACTATCAGGGAGATGGAGAGGGCTCTTCAGATTCCTTACCAAGGCCTTCGTCCTGAAAATGCCTCCATTGTTTGGGAACCAGGAATGGCTATTTTCTGAGATAACTGCTCTTCTTGACTTAACCATGGTCACTTTGCCTCACTACTCAAAGTGAGCCCGGGCCGTTTGAGGTTCCTGGCCGGCTCGCCATTCCTCCCTGGCTCCTGGCAGTGTGGCATCATGTTGGGGGTGGTTTGGGTGTGTCTCCAGGGCCGTTTCTCAAGGCCCGTGGCAGCTATCCATCGAGCTTGCGTTTACTTTCCAGTGCCCTCTGCTGCCTTGGCGTTAGTGAACGGAGACCCGCAGGTGGCACCCATCAAGCTGTGTGACAGCGGCATCCACGTGGCAGATCCATGGTAGACCCAACAGTCAGGGGCACAGCCGCCCATGACTGGAACCCTGTGCCCCAGCCAGCAGGGTGTCGGGCTGGCTCTGTTGGTTCCTTTGGCCGGTTCTTTCTAGTTGTGTGTTTCTTGGAGGGATGGCATGTTCCTGAGCTAGAAAAAAGCTTTCAGGGTGCAAGCTTCCAGAAAAATAATCAGAAACCGATCGGCAGCACAGTTTAGCTGGTGGCAGAAGAGATGAGCTAGCGCCGGCCTTGGTAATACATGCATAGTTAAGAACGGCATCGAAAACGAAGTTATAAATAGACGCGCTGAGGAGAAAGAAAAATCATTGCTTTCCCCAAATATGCACGGCCACGAGAAATCTAGATTCTTCTGCTAAGACAACAGAAACCACTGGGCCTGAAAAGAAAAAAGAAAAAAAAAAATGAGGCACAAGGCCCAAAGAAGCACAAGGCTGGAGCCAGCCCAGAGCTGGACTTCCTTGTTACCTCTGGTATGGCTAACACCTCAGAATTCATTCCAGCTCTGGATGGTGGGGTTTAATCAGAGGCTCCCCGGGAGAGCATGTCTCCACATTTTTCCAGCCAGGCAGCTGGCACCCTGACTTCTGGGGAGCCCCTTTTCTTCCTCAGCACCTCGACTCGATATTGTCCATATGGATGCATGTGTGGGAATACACACTGCAGCAACTTTTGTCTTTTGTCGTGAAGGGCTGACAGGGTAATAAACACTCGCAGGCTCCCTCCTCCAGGAATTCCTCCTCCTCCTCCTCCCTGTGTGGCTCTAGCCCTGTGGATAATATCATTACAGGACTAAACAAATAAACAGTCGATCCGAATCAAGCAGGAGGCATTGGGGACTGTGCAGTTCCTCTCTGCAAAGATGATCCACGTAAATTTACACTCCCAGCTTGGAAGGCCTCCAGCAGCCATGAATAGCTGTTCAGTTCTGTCAGGCGGGGAGGAGCCCCGGCGCTGGGCTGACCCCAGCTCCGGCTCTGCTCCCATCAATGTGAGCTTTCAAGGTTCTGTTTTCCTTACCATTGGCAACTGGGATCAGCAAGGGCCAGGAACACTTTTTATGAACCCTGGGCTCAAAGGAGCGGCTTTGACTACAGAGTTAACGTATTAAACTCAATGACACGGAGGAAAGCCTACCACACTCCTGCCAGACGCTTCCTCTTCCCATGTGACTCCTGTGCTCAGATTGTCACTGCTCCTGTTGCTACAGACACCGCTGCCATCACCTCGGACCCAGCTGCATTCTGCAGGCATGCTGGTTCTTCTGCAAGAGACCGTGGACTACAGTAAGGGCTGTAGCACACAGATAAATTCTGACCAACAGAGTATTTCGTATAGGTTACCTTTCCCATCGAGGACATACAATGAAGTGCCATACTCTAAGTATGTATAGTTACTGTGTGTCAACTCTATGAACAATTTTTTAATTCATAAAATTTCTTTGCCAGGCGGTGGTGGTGCACGCCTTTAATCCCAGCACTCGGGAGGCAGAGGCAGGCGGATTCCTGTGAGTTCGAGGCCAGCCTGGGCTCCAAAGCGAGTTCCAGGAAAGGTGCAAAGCTACACAGAGAAACCCTGTCTCGAAAAACCAAAAAAAAAAAAAAAAAAAAAAAAAAAAAAGAGAAATTTATTAAAAAATATTTCTTTACTGGTAAGAGTTATTATCACAATAACTTGAATACTACCCTCAATTACCATATTTAAAAGTGATGCTTTATTTGGTTCTATCACTATAAATATGCCATGTGTAACAGTTCAAAACCCAGAGTCTGTATCACAGTCATGGAGAACAGTTTTGGTATTTTCTTGTATGTTTCCCTTTTACAGCAGTTCTGAAAAAAACCTGTTATTTGCAAATCTGGGTTTGAAAAATCTGGTTTTTCTTTCTTTTCCAGAACAATTTCATAACAGACTTTCTCACTGAGCTCCAACTAGGTCAGAGACTATTATTGCCTCCTATCTACTGTTCTTTGCTTCCTTTTAATAGCAAAATCTATTTGCTAAGCTTAAGGCTACCTCTACAGACTACATTTCCCAGGGTCCTTTGCAGGCAGATTTGGCTAAGTGGCTAAGATTTGGCCAATTGGAGATAAGTGGAAATGGGTAAACCTTCCGAACAAATGCTTACATAGAGGCTGCCACTCTGGGCACTCTGTTTCTTGCAGCTTGGCACAAGAGTACACAGTGGCGAGCGGGAGCTTTGGAAGCATGACAGAGCAACACGGGAGAAGGAAATCCTACCCCGCTCTCATAGATCTATTCCATAAGCCATTTCCGCTCGAGAGACACGCCTGTTTCATTTGAGATGCTACCCTTTGATCTTTGCTAAAACTGAAACTGCTGTTTCCAGCATGGCTCCAGGGTTGGACCTGACTTGGGTGGTGAGGAAACGGAAGAAAAGGAAACACACATAGACAGACAGACAGAAAAGCGGGGACTGGATGAACTGGGCTCTCTTCCAGAGAAGCCACGCACCCCAGAAGCTCAGCATATTTATTGTACACAGGTGAGCAGAGAGGCAGGGTGATGCGGACAGCTGAATGCAAGGAGACAGGGTTTATGGTATCCATGTGAGCCAAGGTTTAGCTGACCTTGGTAGAGTGGTCTCTGTAAGAGAGCAGGCTTCAGCCTGGGGGGTGGGGGGGATGGGGGGGATGGGGGGATGGCACACACCTTTAATCCCAGCACTCAGGAGGCAGAGCCAGGCGAATCTTTGTGAGTTCAAGTCCAGCCTGGTCTACAAACTGAGTTCTAGGACAGGCTCCAAAGCTACACAGAGAAACCCTATGGGGCGGGGGGAGAGCGAGCAGACTTCAGGCTGTAAACATAAGGGGATGGAGAAGGCTTCGTTGGACATCTTCTGCACACACACAACATTCATGCTCAGACCAGGAGAGAAGGTTTGGCTTTGCCATCTTCCTGGTGGGTTTGAGGCTTTGGGGTACCTGGCATGGCCATGCTCACGCCGGACAATACACATTCACTCAAGCAACCTAATAATCCAACAAATGCAGCAAGTGTTCTGAGTTTATTTTCTCATATGAAACAGTGGGGCTCTATGGATCATAATGTACAATAAAGAATAATTTTGAGTCATAATTCAGAAAACAAATATTAATAAGTGTGCATGCATATTCCAGTGTCTATTGAATACAAGAAAAGACATTTTTCCTGAGGGATGCCCTAAGGGAAAGGGGATGGCACCATACAGGTGACAGGACAATAGAGAAGGGGGGATACTAGATGTGAAAAGGCTTGAGCAGGGGTGGGGTGGGGAGATGGGAAGATGAAGGGCCAGGGAGGGAGGGGTAACCAAAACAAAGGGTATATGAAAAGTCGTATGAGGGGCTGGAGAGATGGCTCAGTGGTTAAGAGCATCGGCTGTTCTTCCAGAGGGCCATGGTCCAGTTCTCAGCACCCACATAGCAGCTCACAATGTAACTCCAGTTCCAGGGAATCTGACACCCTCAAACCGACATACATTCAGTCAAAACACCAATGCACATAAAATAAAAATAAAAAGTTTTAGAAAAGAAAAATTTGTATGGAAATATATTGTATAAGCCAATTGAAAATAGAGCTAAAAAAAAAAAAAAAAAAAAGAGTTAGAAGACAGACATCCTGCCAGGCTGGACAATGCTGTCTCTAAAAGCCATGAGTTACTGAATAAAAAATCCCAGGCAGCAAGGCCCCAGAGGTCCCTAATTAACTGATCAACTCTGTTGTTGGAGACTTCATGCTCCATGCTTACAAGGTCTAGAGAATCCAAGCTGGCAGTGAGCTGGAAGCTTCCTTCCACCTTGAGCCTTCATAGAATGTGAGGGTGCTGGTTAGCCTTCCCAGGGAGAGCAGGCACCCGTGGTCTTACCCAGCCATGAGCCTTATAAACCACAATATCACCCTCCCAGGCAAGACTGGCCTGTCGGCACAGTAACGGTATACCTGTCACGGAGGGCGCCAACAAGTCCATGATCGCATTTGAAGCCCCATCCACAAGAGACAATTCATATCTGACACTGTAAACCGGGCCAAAACTTGTGACTGCGGAGGTCGAAATACTAGGAAAGACTACATTACTGTTGTTCAACTAAATTGACATTGGTGCCAAACTGCCTCCCAAATAGTTTACAGCCATAGATGAATGCTATTCTCAGCCTTCATCAGAGAAGTTTCTCTCTGCAATTAAAAAGCGAATGCAGTCACTCCTCTCTGCTCAGGGTGCTGAGAATAAATGACAGCTGAGTGCGCCCCCCTAACGGGACATTTATACTACTTCCTCTAAGTCTCACGAAACATCACGGGAGAGGAGGCAGAAAGGCTATGAAATACTGTCTTCTAAGCACGACATCTCGTAATCATCTCATAGCGGCTGTGGCGGTCTGCCCTGGGCCTGTCAATAGTCAATCAAGAATCTGGGATTGGTTCACAGGCTCTCATCCCTCCCCACTGAACTATTGGTAGCTGGTGGATTCTGGGGGAGAGGCAATCAATTGTGTACACACTGGCGAACCCACCAGGCTCCAATGGACACTGGCAAGCCCAAGGTCACCCAGACAGTCTGTTAAACTCAGTGGGGGCAGAAACCAAACAAAAAGGCATGAATGTGGGGAAGGGGTGTGTAGGGAGGAAGGAGAGTCGGCAGGAGTGGGAGGGAGGACAAGAAAGGGTGTGAGATAAAAGTGATCACACTGCATTTTACACTGTCAGAGAACAAATGTGATAAAAATCAAAAATCAGGAGCTGTGCTGGGTGTGGTGGTGCACGCCTTTAATCCCAGCACTCAGAGGCAGAGGCAGGCAGATCTCTATGAGTTCAAGGCCAGCCTGGTCTATATAGTGAGTTCCAGGACAGCCAGAATTACACAGTGAGACTCTTGTTTCAAAAAACAAAAACAAACAAAAAATCAGGGGCTGTTAGAGTCCTAGGTAAAGACAATCGGAGTTAGAGATCTAGTTTAATCTTGTTTACAAATTGAGAGTCAAAGTCAATGTCTGAATTGTAAATCAGTTTCAAAAAATGGTGTCTGAGTTGGAAGTACTGTTCAACAGCAGAGCACTTGCCTTGTGTGAGTGAGGTCCTGAGCTTGATCCCCAAAACTATATACATACATACATACACACACACACACACACACACACACACACACACACACACACACACACACACATATATATA